GCATGCAGAAAGTGTAGTTCACTCACTGCTTCAAAGAGCATCTTGTCCAGACCTAGGTAAGGAAAAGCCCAAATCAGAAGAGGATGATATCCTATACGCTCTTACAGTTACCCCGATGCAGAATGCGACCCTAAACCCTAAACCCTAAAGGTTACACAATAGACCTGCCCAGGTCCAGACACAAGAGCACTGCTGCTCAGGTCACGGTCTGCGCAGACCTCAGAACTCGTCACCATAGCCTTCTTCCTCTCCTGCAAATATTGCTGTTAACCAGTGAACGAACGAGTGGAGAACAAAAAGGAAAGTTTTGTAATATATATATATATACACATATATCGTATATATCCGCACAGGTATGTCATAAATGAACATATATATATATGCATATACATATATATATACACTTATATATGTCATATATGTATGTGTATAGGGTCTGCTATACGGATCCTTTTCTCTACTCCTCCAATCGCGAATGGCACACAGCAACCCCTGACCTTAAAGCCGAAACCCTAGACCTTCAACCACCCATTGTGGTAATATTCAGGTAATGTTAGGGTAATGGGAAATTCGGGTAAAATTGTGATAATGGAAAATAGAATGGAAACTACTATTTAATCAGCTTCCATTTTCCTATTTCCTACTCACAACCAGTGGGAAGAGGGCTTCTCTGGTCAAGCCAGGCCAGTTGTTCTGAATTGAAAGATGTGTTAAGATGAGTTCGTGTATAAGTAGATAGAATATGGCTTTGGGTATATTATAGTAAGATCCCCATATAACCCATATTCCATCTACTTAATGGCGACTATACCCTTAAATAGTTACCCGAAGGCTAGTTGAGGAGTATGAAGAAATGCGAGGGCATCAATCGACAAATTATCGTGGCAAACTCCCCTTTGGCGCTTCGTTGTACGTGGGTGGGTAAACTATAGGCTTTCTTCGCATACTCTAGGCTGCTTGCAAAGATGCGCATAGCTTGCATAATGACATACTAATTACATCACACGGGCGTCCAAATGACGTTTGGGCGTTGATCCTATGGTGCCTTAATGCGGGGGCGAAGTATACTTTTGAGGATATGCTCTGGTACAGTTATATGAGGCCATCAGTCGGGATCCGTCTTGAGAACCGTCCCTAAAGCCCAGACTTCTTCATTCCTTTGCGTTGGGCCTGTTCAGCTGCACACTGTTCCTAGGGCTGATAGGGGCCCCCCTTCAAGGAGCCCGCCAAAACCTAAAACCCCCTACGAGGACTATTGGGGCCCATATACAAACTACTACGAGTTGTTGGGGGACATAGGGGCCTATTGGGGCCTATGGGGGCTTGGATTTGGGTTGGCTCCTTCAGAGCGGGGCCCGAAAAAATCAACCGTATGAGCTACGTTTGTTACGACTACATTGACAATTACGAAGCTACCATGCCCGAAGTGACTAGCTTCGCAAGATCAAATACGTCTTCCGCGGCCACTTTGGATTGGGATAGCAGTAATTCTAGTACAGGTTGTGGGCGAGATTATTGAGTACTTGGACCCTTCGGGCTAGGTTTCCGGCACGCTTCAAGCTCTTTCGACGGTTTTCTTACCGAAATAACCCCAAACCCTAGCCCCTAGACCTCTAAATCTTAAACCCTAACCCTCGGTTCCAATCAAACCCCAAACCCCTACACCCATAATTAAAGCTTAAACCCTAAACCCTGAATCCTAAACTCTAAGGAAAGCTAATCTGGAACGAGCATTGCCCTCCCACTGTTGATGGAGCAAGTCTGCCCTAGAATACATTGTGCATCCCTAGCAGCGAAAGTCCCTCATCCACCAGTCATTGTAGGGGTTATAGGGTTTAGGGTGATTAGGGTTTAGAGTTTAGGGTTACAGGGTTTAGGGTTTCAGGTTTAGGGCATATGTATGATGGGGTAAGATAGGGGTTATCTAGGGGGTATTTATGGAAAAGAAAATACGAACTACTATTTAGGGTTTAGGGTTTAGGATTCAGGGCTTAGGGTTTAGGGAAGAAACCCCTTTGCGGTAAATTTGCTGAGTGGTAGCAGGGGACGAATAAATGAAAGTGATATATCTGGGGGGGGGTTGCGCAGCAACTACTATAGCGCACCATTCCTCCCAAACCCTAAACCCTAAACCCTAAACCCTAAAACCCTAAGATCCTTCTCCCTCGGCGGTTTCGATGCCGACCTCCTCGTAGTCCTTCCGTCCAAGAAGACAACATGTGGGCGGTTGTCAAAATTAGGGTTTAGGGTTTAGGGTTAGGGTTTTAGGGTTTAGGGTTAGGGTTATGGTCCCTTTTTGGGTCCCTATTATAGTACGGCACCTAATATTTAGGGTACCCAAAAAGGGACCATAATTTTGACAACCACCCATGTGGCTTATCTAGCTGCTAGCTGAAATCCTGATAAGAATGAGAAAACCACAAAAAAGATTGGGGGTTGTTCTTATTGATTTGTGCTTTGGGCCCCCCACTAGACTTGAAAAAGATTGGTCAAAGGAGTCGTTTGGAGCCACCTAGGGCTTTGCAGAAAAATGAAGCCTCTCAGCATTTTAGAGTTAGGACCAAACTATCAAAGGCCGTATTGTTTGGAACCCTGAATAGCAAAACGGTTGAGGCCTCTCAGCATTTTAAAGCTATGCTAAGACTGGGAAAGACCGCCATCCTTTCTGATCTGAGCATCTCGCCATTTTGGAGCTCCCAGCGTCCTAAAACCATGAGTGGCCCGAACCTCACTACTGAACTTGGGGCCACCCTCCAAAGACCCCTAAAGCCCTCAACCCCTAAACCCTAAACCTCCTAAGGCCGCTTGAGTCATTTGGGATCCTGAGCATCAATGCCTCCAGACCCAAAGAGCATTTCGAGAGAGGTAAATCTAGGTACCCAGATAAAATGCTCAGTTTAGGGTTTAGGGTAGACATATACATGGAAACTTGTATATAATATAGTATACCTACACATCTATACTTCAATATATCAAGACATACATAAAGGTACACCTATACTCGTAAGTCCCTACAAGCCGCCAGCCTCCAGTTCATCTCCCGGTTGATTCTCATGTCTTAAGTAACTTTGACAAAGAGTTTAGGGCCTAGGGTTGAGGGTTTAGGGTTATATAGGGATATGTAGGGGTTATGTAAGGGTTATATAGAGGTCATATAATTGAGGGTTGAGGGTTTAGGGCCTAACTTTGGCATCTCAACGGCCCGAAGCTCTGAAACCTACTTGGAGCGTCAGGATGAGAATTTAGTGGGTAGGTTAAACATGCGCTGGATTTAGTATCCTGCTTATAAGTGGGTAACATACTGTTGATGGATGAAATCTTGCACCAAACTACTGTAATTCCTAGGACTNNGTGCAGGATTTCATCCATGAACAGTCTAATGGCTGAAGAACTGAGGTGCTGGATCCCAAGCCCCGCAATTGTAGATCCAAACTTCTAAACCTTGAAGCCCCGTGCCCCTCCAGGTATAGTCCCCCTTAAGT